CCACCTAAAAAATTGCTGAGCTCTAGGGAGAGATGAACTGAAAAATTTTGATGGCGCATTCTTCGAGTGGCCTTTCGGTATAAACTAAATTAAAATTACTGAAAGTTGATAGACAAGGCTCACTATCTGTCATTAATCAATGTATTTTCTCAATTTCGATTTCAATTTTTTTAATACTTTTTAAGTTATAAACGGTCAAAGTTTGTCCAATTTTTTAGGGACCACTCCTTAATTCAAGATTTTCAATTTTCTTTAATCGAGCAAATTTAAACTAAAATGTTGCTTTAACTTGATTTAATTGAAGCCTGACTGAGAGGTCAGGCTTTACCGTTAGAAATGACCGACCAGTTGAATGCCAGTATATATTTTGATAGCATTCTCACTTAAGGAATTAAAGGTTGCGGAATTCCCTATTCTTCATCTTCGAGTTCAAGTGAGGATCACATTTGAAATTTTTGCATTGGTTGAGATCTCGATGGAAATGGTTCGGTAGTAAGTATGCGCTACTACAAATCTGCTGCAATTGAAATGCAAAGTCTCGGGCATTTAACTCGATAGGACGAATTCAGTCCTACTTAAATTGCAATGCTAAGAATCTCTTACGAATGCAATGCAATGTGTTTCTTCATGATAAACCTTCATAGAAATATTTCTAATATTAATAAGATCATGAGTACTCATCATAAAATCAAGAATTTGGTATCGACAGATTTCTCTCATCGGTTACCTCTGATAGAAACACTAAATTAAACATTACAATTTTCCCCAAAATCATGCAAACTCTCTGCTAACTCCATAAAGGATCTAACGATCGTACGCTTAAGTTGTGCAAGCTTTGAATGATATTTTGATTGAAAACGTATAACGTCATTCAAGTAGTTGAATTTCACAGCAAAACAAAATAAAGTTTCAAATTAAATATTAGTCAAACTTTTATTTACTAGTTCGTTAAATTTTCTGTAAATTCAATTTCAAGTAGTCTTGGAGGGTCCATCAGCTCAAAACCAACTGGATTGCTTTTAACGACTAACACAAAGAAAGGGTTGTACTTGCCAAATTACCACCAAGGTTTCGTGGATAGATATCAGTTTTACAGAATTTCTTGGTAATATGTGGTCTGTTGATTAAAAAGCGATTGAAGATGATGATTAGTAGAGTTAAAGTTACAATTGGCAATATTACAAGATAACTTACTGGTTTGGTGTAGTTTCAGTTAAATAAGCAGTCTGAATGTTAACATCGTCAATATTTCCATAGATCCTGACATGGTCATGCCAATCCAATGAAATCGCACCAACTTCACTGAATGGCATAGACGTTTTCACTGTATAGTTGTGGGATGAAAAGCCTGCAAAGGTCGTACTGTGATAATGACAATTAATAAATAGCATCAACATTAATCATTATAAACGGTTTACGATTCGTTAAATACATGTTCTGCATCACAAACATATTCAATTGGGCCAATTTTTTTGAGTATCGAAATGTTTAAAGAGAATGGACCAACTTGAGAATTCATTTGCCCGATTTCAAAGCCGATTGCATAAATGTGGTCAATACCATCTGAATGTATACGTGAAAAAAATAAATAAATAAAATTAAAAATAATAATTAGGAACAAAAAAATCAAGAAATAAACAGGATAAAACTGTAATTATGATTTACTTACCGCGCTCATAATCAATTGGTCCAATGAGTGGGAAGGCAATTATGGTCGAGTACAAAGAAAATAGTAGAAAAATCGTAGATTTTGCCATAATTTTTACGTTTATTAAACACGAAATGAGTAAAACTTGACAATAGTTGATTAATAGATGCGTATTATTGTCCAAAGAGAAGTGATTTAAATGTAAATGTAAATCATATTTTATATGTAACGAAATCTAGATATTGAATATTGTAATGTTCACAGTCACATTCAAAATGCGTCATGAAATTGTTTAGCAAATTCTTGATTGCTCAATTGATTTGATTAGTTAAGTGAATTGTATTTAAATGTCTATTCTATTGTCAAGTAATCAGATTATCAACAAAAAATTCCTTGATCATTTATTTTCAATTTTATCTTTACAGCTGATTTATCATTTGCCAGAATTTCATAGCGTTGCAAGAACCTTTTTCAACACTACTGGTCAATCGTTACAATTACTTTTGGAATCAATGGAATCAAATAAAGCTCAAATCAATGATGTTTATAAAGCTTACGCACGTATTGTGGACAGTATGTTCGAGGTTTACAAAGTCCAGAAAGTTACTGGTGTAGGTTATATCAATACTGATTATTTAAATGTGAATGGAAGGGATAGTTTCCCAAGAGAGGAGCTTCAAGCTATGATAGACGCTTACATTGGTGACATCGAGATGATTCGTAAGTGTGAAGTATCCTTAGGACATCCAGATCGAGTTGATATGGAGATCGTTGATCGTCTGAAGTCATTGTCCAATGATGTCAGAAATTATACTTTCTATAGAGACGATCCTAGAGGTGTTACTGAGTCATACAGTGTTTGTGGCAACTTGATTTCTTGTTAGCTCAATTTACAACAGCCTTCATCAATTCAAAGGTTTGAGTTTTCTTTATCTAATATTAATATTAAAATGAAATAAAAACTGAGCATTAAATAAAATTGTTTCATTTAATCATTTAAACAAGTGGAAGGATATCAATTCATCTCTGATTTGAAAATAGAGTTAATGGCGAATTCACGTTATTTTTAAATTATTTATAACAGATATGAATAAATAGTTATAATGAGCCGGTAAATTCATTCTGAACGTAAATATTGAAATTTAAATTACCTTTCGAGCTAATTATTGGGGCAACAAGTATGGTTGGAAACAAAACCAGATTCAGATTGACAAATCTATGTTTGGTCAATATTCGAGAGAACCCGAATGTTTCTCCGTGTAAATAAAAGAAGATATGAATTTTATTGACTACTTCTTATCCTAATATCCTCTTATGATAGAAGTAATTGGCGTTCCCTAATTATATTTATTCAATATGATCTATTCCCAATCAAGGTCAATCAAAACAATAATCTAATTGGTATCTAATGTTTAATCTGTTTATAATTTTCGATGAATCTATCAGTTTTTCACGGAAAGTAATGAATATATGTTTGTCGCGATTCAAAGAATCAAAGAAGAAAGAAGATAATAATACATTGATCTCAGCAGCTAATTTAAAACGAAAAAAGTTATAGCAAGAAATTGCAAAGTCAAGAAAAAATGAACAACTTACATAAAAAGATGAGTAAAATCGTAGTTTTCATTGTAATGGCTTCCAAAGTAGTTAGTCAATGTAGAAAAATCAAAAGTAAACTGTTTTAGTAACAACTTTGAGTAACTTAAATGAATTGAATATACCTCAACTCGTCTTGGTACTCTTACTAGTTCAATCATAGCATTGATGTACACTCTATCGCTAAATTTATCTGTGATCTAGTTTGTTTTTACAACTTTGAACACAATGTAAATAATTATGAATCAAGTAAAAATTTGATTTATCCATGTCAAATTGAGTAATTATGATGATTATTTGTTCAGTTTCAATCAGAACAATAAAGAAGTTGTCATTAAATTGAGTTAAATGATAATCTATACATCTATACATACAATATATAAAGTCAAACTATGAAATTTTTGTCGGAAGATTGTGGCCAAACCAAACGGGTTCTAAAGAAAATTTTCCCACAGAATGAAAGCCATGATTAAACTACAATGGCAAAAAATAGTTCGAACTTTCTCTGAATTCAGGTTACTGAGAAATTAGCGTTCAAACAGAGTAGGGGAAAAAAGCAGAATCCGTATCTTTTACTATTGACTTTGGGGGAAAAACTTTTTGGTTATTCAGGTTGATTGTTTATTGTTGGATTAGAAGGATAAGTAAAACCGTCTTTCGAGTAAAGAGTTAAGTGAAAAATATGGTACCTTAACTGTACAGAAAGATTTCATTCTGTTCAGCTGTATAACCAGATTTTATTTTATTTTTTAGTTTTTCTCATTGACGATAGTTTTTCATCAAGAATTTGAGTCTTTAAATATGGATTGAATTTATTGTATTTCAGTGAAAAAATTACGATCAGTCATGATCGGGGGTTCCACTTGTATAATTAAGTGATTAACAACAATACTTCAAACACTTAAACTCGTGTTATCAAAGTAAAGTCGATTACACAGACCATTATCTCATGAGTGAATGCAATCAATGAATCCATGAATCTCCATTAATAACATCGCGAGTTATAATCATTTCATGTTATTATTATATAACCATTAATATAATAATTTTATGAGTCACCATTATTAATATCAGATTTTTTGTATTTCTAATGAAATGTAAACTTTATGAACAAAAATAAAAGCAAAGGTGCATCGCAAATCAATGAAATTTTCGACATTAGATGTAATAAGAACATTTAGCTTATGCTAGCAAATTTTAGCTAATACTTTGTTGTAGTGATGTTTGATTTGGTTAATTCGCTGGATGTGTTGGATTGAGTGATGCACAATATGGTGGTAAACACTGTGAAAAGACTGTCAAAAGACGTTGCAAAAGTGGTGGGAAAAAGCCGGTCCCCTCTCCACTCTTTACTCAAAAGACAAAGTTTTACATAAAATGCTGGTCCAACAATTAAGCAATAACAATTTTTTTCTTAGATCCCGCTCAGTTGACCACAATTTTGACACAAAAATCTGAAACATTGACTTTATACAGCTACAGAAATCGAGTTTGCAAACATTTTTGTATCATTTGAGCCGGTTTAGATAAGATTGATAAAACAATTTTAATCAGTAAAATGTGCTTTTGATTTGTCTTTGAATCTTATTTTTCATAATCTAAACCATTTTCATCTTTCGAAAACTTTATCGTTGATAAATTTATCTAAACCTGCTCAAATGATACAAAAATGTTTGCAAACTCAATTTCTGTAGCTGTATATTGTACTTTATAGATGTGTAGATGTGTAGATTGAATGAAACGATTTTATTTCATGCTTCAATTTTTATTTCATTTTAATATTAATAGATAATAAAACTCCAAAATTATTCTAAATAACGGATGAAAGTTTCTGTAAATTGATTTAAAAAGAGTTTGAATCGCCACAAACATTGATCTAATGTTCTTTGTTTAATACTTTTCGTTTCAAAAACGTTATCATCCCTATAGAAATAATAATTTTGCACTTCATTGGACAATGATTTTATGCGTTCAACGATCTTCATGTCTACTCGATCTGCACGTCCCATGGATCCTTCACACTTACGAACCATCTCAATGTCACCAATATAAGCGTCTATCATCTCTTGAAGTTCGTCTTGTGGGAAACTATCGCGTGAATTGACAGTCAAGTAATCAACATTATGAAATGACATGATATTGTTAACATCGGTTATAAGTTTAACAATATGTGAGTAAGATTCAAAAAATTCACCGTTTCGAGTGTCATTTGCATTCATCATTGATTCCATAAGTACTTCTAACGATTGTATAGTGGAATTGTAAAAGGTTCTTGCATCTTTAAGAAGATATTTTCTTTTTTAGTCAGACCTGACTTTATCAATTCGTCGATTTACCATAGAAGTAACCAACATGTTTGGTAGATTTTCCCGAGGATACAGGCTTTTCATAAAGGCCAACTCTCGTAGTGTTGCTGAGTATGACACATTGATGACGGTGACTAATTTAAAATGAAAAAAAGACATTGAAAGAAAGTGAAAAGTTAACAAAAGATGAATAACTTACATAAAAAGAAGAGTTCGATGGCATTTTTCATTGTAATGGCTTCCAAAGTAGTTAGTCAATGTTAATGAATCAAAAGTAAACTATTTTAGTAACAATTTGATAAACCTAAATGAATTGAATAGATCTCAACTCGTTTTTATATATGCTGATTGGTTGAATCACAGCATTGATTCAAATCTATCGCAGAATCAATCTTTGTTGCTTTGTTATTTTGCAAATTCAAACCAGTTTAATCCATGTGTGATTGAGGCACTTTGTACATCCGCCCATGACTATTTGTTCAGTTCCAATCAGAACAGTGATAATTTTATTATTGAATTGAGTAAATCAATATAATTAAGCGATAAACAGCATTCCTTCAAACATTAAAAAAGTTTTATCAAAGTAAAGTCGCTAACTCAGGCCATTATCTCACAATTGAACACATTCAATGAGTTCATGTTAAATCCATGGATCACGCCATTAATATCACCAGTTATAATCACTAATTTTTAATCATTATCATAACTATCATTGATATTATCTAGTAAATATTATTTACCATAGATATTTTCTTTGATTATCGGAGCGTAGTGAAACGAAGTGAAGATTTATACTTCAGTTTAGCCATTTTGAAAAACGTCTTTTCGTTTTCTTTACGTCGATGTACAGCCAAAACCATTTGCGTGAAACACTTGAAACTTGTTATGATATGTTTTCTATTTGAGAAGATGTGCTGAAAGAATTTTCGAGGCCATCGGAGGTCATTTTGCGGGAACTCGACCTTTGACCTCTAGAGGTCATTTGAAGGTTAGAATGAAATTTTGGTTGAACTTTCATTATTTTCACAAATGATCATCATGATATGACCAATTTTCATCAAATTATGGCTCAAAACACGGAAAAAAGTTTGAAACATCGTTTTTTGTAACCATGATATCTAATGACTGGATATTCTTGATAATTGCAAATTGCTTGTTTAACGACACATCGGTGAGTTGAAATAAAAATCACAGCCATCGTATGTCATTTGTCGGAAATTTGAACTTACACCTTGAGTGTTTAATCGACGGGCATTTGCTTAATTTTATAACATCACCATTCCGCTAAAAAAATTATCATTCTTGAAAAAATCCCTCGGTTTAAGGAATGCAAATGAGAAAATAGCTAGTGATAAGTATAAGTAAAAAGCATGAAAAGTAGCTAAATTTTGCATAGAAATACCACGCTGGAGTTATTTAAAATTTGAAAAAATGCCTTATTTTTACTGTGCTCACTTTTCAACTACACTATACATTCATGTTAACTTTACTCCAACTGATTACTGTGGCTTTTGAGTATAAATTGTTCATTTGCTTTGACACGATAATTTGAATAGCAATTGCTAAATTGAGATAAATTAAAAATATTTAGTTGTCATATTTTAGACCCATAGCATTGAAAAATGCAGTTATAAATGTTTTTTCAGTTTTCATAAATTGAGTCATGAATATGAGCAAGACGTAACATTATCAACGAAATTAATCATAAGCGGTCGTACCAAGTAATTCAATTTCTCATGGATTAAATCCGGTAGATATAAAGACGAGTTGAGATCTATGCAACTCAATGAATTGGACAAATCGTAAATACTAATTTGTTTTATTACCTTTGATTTGTTAACTGATTTGAAAGACATTACGATGAAAAGTACGATTGGACTCATCTTTTTATGTAAGTTGTTCATTTTGTTCTTGGCTTTTCACTTTCTTTTAATGTCTTTTTAACTTTAAATTATTTTAGTTGCTGTTTTCAATGTGCCATTATCCTTACGAGAGTTGGACTTTATCGGAAATCTATATTCTGAAGGCATACCAAAGCAGTTACAGTAATTTATTGGTAACTCGGCGAAGTAATCGAGTCAAGGCCAAGTCCGCATTGGAATCGATTCCTAGAGACGCAAAAACCTTTTACATTGAAACTGAACAATCTTTACAATTAGGGGAAAAAATGAGATTCATTTTGTTTCTTCATGTTAAACCTCAACAGAAATATTTCTAATATTATAATACAAGTTGAGCCTCCGATCACGACTGATCGTAAATTTATTTTCAATGTGCACGATAAAGTCAATCCACATTTAAAGACTCAAAATCTGAATGTCGAATTTTGTCTGGTGGACAATCATTGAATGAAATTGACTTGAAAATTGTCGTTTGGTCTCTTCTAGTACAGTTGAGGCACCAGATTTATAAACAAACTCTTTACTCGAAAGACAGTTTTGCATATATTCCTAGTTCAACAATGAACCATCAAACTACAGTAATTGTCAGTAGATTATTCAACAGTCCCTCAAACCTCTTTGTTTACAATTTGAATGGATAACAATTGTAAGTTTTGAAGATGCAATCAAGATTTTTCACATTTAAAGAAAAATTTAACCTAATTAATAACCTTGAAAATAATAATAATGTTAATGTTAATGATGTGGCTAACAATTACATAAATTATTTTGATTAAATTAAATGTTACTTCCTCAATAAATAGCACTTGCTGTGTAAATAAGCTATTTAAAGTTACTGACAATTACTGGTAACTTACTGTATTACTAATAAATAACCAAAAAGTTTTGGCTCCAAACACAATGAAACAAAATACGGATCCTGCATTTTTCCCCCTACCCTGTTTAAACGGGCATTTCTCAGTAACCTGAATTCTGATTAACCTCTGACTATTTTTCGGACATGTAGTTCAATCGTGGATTTCAGTCTGTACAAAAATTCCCCGTAGAACCCTTTCCGTTTATTTACGATTTTTACACAAAAATTTGATGTTTTGACTTTATACATATGTATATTGTATGTATGGATGTATGGATTAAGATCAAGAGTACTCGCTATATAACCATAAATCTCTCATCAAGTTATGTCTGATAGAAACACTAAATCAAACATTTGAATATCAATAAAAATTTTACCAACTTCATCAAAGCTCTCTGCTAATCCAATAAAGGATCTAAGCTTAAGATGTGCAAGCCTCAAATGATATTTTGGTTGGAAACATTTAGATATCGAGACAGCATTTCATAGCAAAATAAATTAAAGTTTCAAGTTGATTATTAAATTAAACTTTTATTTTTTAATTGGATAAATCGTGTATAAATTCAATTTCGTGTAGTCTTGCAGTATTCATCAGCTTCAAATCAAATGGATTGCTTTTAACACAAAGATAGGGTTACTCTACCCAAATTACCACCAAGGTTTTGTGGATAGATATCAGTTCTACAATATTTCTTGGTAATATTTAAACTGTTGATGAAAGACAACGATTGAAGATGATGGTTAGTAGAGTTGAAGTTACAATTAGCAATATAACATGAAGATAACTTACTGGTTTGGTGCAATTTCAGTCAAATAAGCAGTCTGAATGTTAACATCGTCAATATTTCTATTGAACCTGACCCTGTCTCCCCAATCGAAGGAAATCGCATCAGCGTCACTGAATGCCATCAAAGTTTTTACCGTATAGTTGTGGGTTGAAAAACCTGTAAAGGTCGTACTGTGATAATGACAATTAGTAAATAGCATCAACATGGATCATTATAAATGGCTTACGATCCGTTCAATCCATGTATTGTATCACAAGCATATGTACTTTCGCCAAATTTTTTAAGTATCGAAACGGCCAAAGAGAATGGACCAACTTGGGAATTCATTTGCCCGATTTCAAAGCCAATTGAATAAGTGTATTCAATATCACCTGTATGCATACGTTGAAACAAATAAAGAAATAAACAAACTAAAACTGCAATTATGATTTACTTACCAAGTCCCCAAGTACTCTTTCCAGTGAGTGGTAAAGCAAGTATGGTTGAGCACAAAGCAAATAATACAAAAATCGTAGATTTTGCCATAATTTTTAAGTTTATCAAACACGAAATGAGTAAAACTTGACAATAGTTGATTAATAGATGCGTATTATTGTCCAAAGAGAAGTGATCTAAATCTAAAATGAAACAGTATTTTATATGCAACGAAATCTGAATATTGAATATTTTAATCTTCACAGTCACATTTAAAATGCGTCATGGAATTGTTTAGCAAATTTTTGATTGCTCAATTGATTTGATTAGTTAAGTAAATTGTATTTAAATATCTTTTCTATTAACAAATAATCAGATTATCAACAACAATTCATCAATTATCTACCTTTTAATTTTCAATTCAGTTTTATCTTTACTTACTCATCGAGAATCACATGCAATATTCATGCGACTTCTTGCGTTACCAGTTTTCATGCAATATCTATTTCATGGTCGTTCCAGAACAAAGAGGACTAATTTTAAATGTATATGAGACACGCCGTGCATTAGTCGGGAAGATCGAAGAATGATATAAATTGAGTTGAAAAATTGGTCAAACACATCGATAGTGATGAACTTGCAAATGCCATGTTAAAGAATAAGTAACTAGTTCGTTTTGATGCCATTTATTAATATATATATTTATTTATTGTTGCATATATATTTAATATATATGCAACAATCAATAACGACGATTGAGGTCATTCGCTTTATTAAATGAAGAACTGGTCATTCAGTATCATCCTCCTCATTTTTATCATCACCATCACCATCACTATCTTAAACAACACTACGATTCTCCTTTTAGCTGAGCAGTTTCTTTCAATGATATGTAAACCCAAGAGTCAATTCGTCGAGTTACCATAAAAGTTAGTGCCAGCTTCGGTATATTTTCATGAGGATATAGACTTTTTAGAAATTCAAACTATCTTATTGATGAAGGTAATACACATTGATCACGGCAACTAATACAAAATGAAAAAGTCATTCAAAGAAATCAAAAGTCAAGAAAAAATGAACAACTTGCATAAAAAGATGAGTTCGATCGTATTTTTCATTGTAATGACTTCTAAGTTAGTGAGTCAATGTTAATGAATCAAAGGTTTTGATAAACAACTTTGAGTAACTTACATGAATTGAATTTAATCTTACTTACAACCATAGCATTGATGTGCAGTCTATTGCTAAAATCTGTGATACTTTGTTTTTACAACTAATAACACTATGCAAGTAAGTAATGAATCAAGTAGTTTGATTAATCCATGTAAAATTGAGTCATTTGGATTGGCCCCAACTGATTATTTGTTCAGTTTCGATCAGAACAATCAGGCCATTATCTCATGAATGAATGAAACCGATGAATCCATGAATCACCAATGATAATATCGCGAGTTATAATCATTGTTATTGTTATTATTATTATTACCTTTAATAATATTATGAGTCACCATTATCAATATCAGATTTATTTTTAATCAGAGCCGCGATTCCCTTACGACATACTGGGTACCAGGGTCAGTGACTAAAGAGGTATCGAAAGGACTGAAGACGAGTCGTCTGGAGATTTACACCACCTTTGTGTCACCATCTCTAACCATAAAATATATTTGATAGTCTAATGATTAGCTCCAAAGTTAATATAATTTCAAATATTTTAACTTCAGAATGAAGTTGCCGGTTAATATTTGTTGCTATTATTAATAATAATAATTCATAAATAATGGGAATTGGCCAAATGCTTGGTTGTCAAATCACTTATGATTTGATATTATCTACAGTTTTATAATAATTGAATGAAACGATTGTATTTAATGCTTCAATATTTATTCCATTTTGATAGTTGATAAAACTCCAAAATTATTCTTACGAAAGTTATCGTTAGTAATGGATGAAAGTGGATGTAAACTTATTCAACAAGAATTTGAATTGCCACAAACATTGGTCCATTGTTTTTCTTGAAATACTCATTGACTCAGAAACGAAACTATCGTCTCTATAAAAAGTATAGTTTCGCATTTCATTGGACAATGATTTTATACGTTCAAGGATCTTCATGTCCACTCGATCTGCACGTCCCATGGATACTTCACACATACGAACCATCTCAATGTCACTAATATAAGCGTCCATCATAGCTTGAAGCTCATCTCTTGGGAAACTATCGCGTGAATTGACAGTCAAGTAATCAACATAATGCAAATTCATGACATTGCTAACATCGGCTATAAGTTGGACAATATGTGAGTAAGATTCAAAAAATTCACCGTTTTGAGTGTCATTTGCATTCATTGATTCCAAAAGTAAGTTTAACGATTGTTCAGTTGAATTGCAAAAGATTTTTGCATCTTCAAGAATCGATTTGCTTTCGTATAAAGTCTTGACTTGATCAATTCGTCGAGTTATCATAGAAGTTAGTACTAGCCTGGGCATATCTTCACGAGCGTATAGACTTTTCATGAAGGTAAACTCTCGTAGTGATGTGGAGTATGATACATTGATCACGGCAACTAATTCAAAATGAAAAGACAAGAGGTTTTAAAGAAATGAAAGTCAAGAAAAAATGAACAACTTACATAAAAAGAGGAGTCCGATCGCAGTTTTCATTGTATTAGCTTCCAAAGTAGTTAGTCAATGTTAATAAATCAAAAGTAAACTGTTTTAGAAATAACTTGTTCAACTTAAATGAACTGAATAGATCTCAATTCGTTCTTATATATGCTGATTTTTTCATTCACAGCATTGATGCACAATCTATCTATCTTTGTTTTTTTTGCAAATTCAAGCCAGTTTAATCCATGTAAAATTGAAGAACTTTGTACATCCGCCTAGGATCATTTGTTCAGTTTCAATTAGAACAATGATAATGAGTAATAAGATATAATTGAGCGATAAAAAGCATTCCTTCAAACATTCAAAAAGTGTTTTCAAAGGTAAGTCGCTAACTCAGGCCATTAGCTCATAATTGAACACATCCAATAAATTCATGTTACACCCTTGGATCACGCCATTAATACCACCAGTTATAATCACTAATTTTGAATCATTATCATAACTATCGATATTATCCAGTAAATATTATTTACCATAAATATTTTCTTCGATATACTGGATGATATCAGATAGACGGTTTAGTATCGCTCAATATTTCTGATATTTTGTAAAGATTGGTGCAAAAGTATTGTAAAATTGAATTTATCATGGTTTTAAGCATAAAGTTCGCGTGTTGATTATGACACGTTAATTTGGTAAGCAATTTCTAAATTGAGATAAATTAAAAATATTGAGTTGTCATATTTTAGACCAGTAACAGTGAAAAATAAAGTTATAAATGTTGTTCAAACTTTCCTGAACTGAGTCATGAATATGGGCAATGAACATGAACATGAACATTGAAATGGGCTCTAACCATGCTAATAAACTATTATCAAATGATTTATGAAACTAAATTATGATCGTCGACTTATAAAACTATTCAATAAAGCATGATAAAAGTAAATATTAACTGTACTGAATAGTCTAGCATTTGTGGAAACCAAAGATTCAAGATGCTTTGCATATGATGCTAGAGATTAGACTTATGCGTTTAGAAGTACCATAAGTACTTATAAGCTATATTTACAATCAAAAAAAGGCTTATGAGTCAGTTTTTGCAGGGTCACAAATCAATTCACCTGCTTCATGAGCTTTTATAACACCTGAATTAACATTTCAACGAAATTTGATCTGCAAGAGAAAAAAATACAGACCAATCCGGAAGCGATATCGAATTCTTGCCAATAGCAAGATTACCCCATCTTTTGTCGTAAAATTGCTGTAACACCATTCGCGATTTCATAGAGCGATTCAAAAAAAAATTATGATTTTAAATGGGAATATTAATTCTTCAACACTTTTAATCTAATTTGAGAGCATTCGATTGCTGATCATGGCAATAAAGATCACTCAGTGTTATTTGTTTGTCGAACCAAGAATTTGCTTTTTCAATATTCATTAGAACCAAGCATTCTTACCATTCCTTTATCTTTTATCATTGCGTCCAGCATATTTTTCTTGCTTGCTTATCCAGCAGCAGTTCAACGATTTCTTGTTGAAGCCAATATCAGATTCAATGGTTTGAAAGTTATCATGCAAAAGGCACACCACTTTCGTGATATTTCTGGACCTTTTGGAAGGCTTTGATTCTGACAGCCTTGTAGAATTAATTATTAGTCAAACAGCATCAGCAGTAACACTTGCAGAGCAAACGGAATTTAATACTCTATGTCTATAATATTGTGCCGGTAAAATGAACAAAGTTGATTGCCGTCCCTTGAGTGCCAGTTTTATTGTTTTGCAGTCCTCTTTATACACTTGTACTTAGAAACCTGGCAGCACTCACTAGCCAATCAGCGAGAGGATACTGACGTGAATCCTAATCAAGTTTTTAGGTTAACACTCTTGACCATTGCAATATGAATATCATTGTGCATCCCTCCGCGATTCTTCTAATCTTCATGCGGTTGGCCTATTTTCCACCATGTTCTTACATTTTTATTGCAAACACTGAATTACCATGATAAAAAATCTTCATCATTCAACTTCAACATTTGGGCATCAATCTTTTGCATTTCTCTATCCTCAAACTCCTGTGTTTTTTCGTCAATATCTCAGGTCAATATGATCAAAGTTTTTGCAATCAACATGAAAAATGAGAAATAATTTTCAATTATTAATATTAGTTCTGAGTTAATGGAACAAGAAAAAAAACAATTGAACAAAGATTCATAACTTGTGAATCATAAAAACCAATGAGTCATGGAACAATGCAATACTACCTGATATGTTCTGATACTGATATATTCAAGATAGTGGCCTGCGTTATAGATTACAGTTTTCTATTTTCAGTATTTGAATCATTCTTTATCAATTGAATCACACCTTTATTATTTTTCTGGTTGAAACTGAACCAATAATCGTAAGCGGGCGTACCAAGTAATTCGATTTTTCATGCAACAGATAAGTATTAACAATGGATTGAAAAAATCCGGTAGATATAAAGACGAGTTGTGATCTATCCAATTCATTAAAGTTTACCCTGTTGTTACTAAAACAGTTTACCTTTGAATTATTAACATTGACTAACTGATTTGAAAGTCATTACAATGAAAAATACGATCGGACTCATCTTTTTATGTAAGTTGTTCATTTTTTTTGTAAACTTTTCACTTTCTTTTAATGTCTTTTTAACTTTAAATTATTTCAGTTGCTGTTTTCAATGTGTCGTTATCCTTACGAGAGTTGGACTTTATCGGAAGTCTATACCCTGAAGGCATACCAAAGCAGTTACTGAATTTATTGGTCACTCGGCGAAGTAATCAAGTCAAGGCCAAGTCCGCATTGGAATCGATTCCTAGAGACGCAAAAACCTTTTACATTGAAACTGAACAATCGTTACAGTTACTTTTGAAATCAATGAATGACACTAAAATCAGTGATGCTACTCAATATTACTCACAAGGGAAGTGCCTTTGCTGGTACGATCATTTTCAATTTTTTTCGGTCTTATATTGTAGAGGGCAAAAAATAATTAGACACGTATTTTTGCTTTTGTTTCGCTAGTGCGCGGTTAATGATATTCAGGCACTTTTTATTAAAGATAGTAAT